AGTTGTGCGCCGAGGCTCTGAATTGCTGTAAAGAATCGAGGGCTGAAGCGATGGAGAGGAGCTGGAATGCTCCACCCGCTTTAATTCGCTGTTTTCAAGGCTTTAGGAGGCTCCTGGCGAATGCAAGCCGCGGGGGACGGCGCGTTGGCCCTTCCTGAGGGCAGGGTGGGAGCGGAGGGGCTGTGGTGGTGGAGGTTGCCGGGAGGAGGTATGGTGGCTTTGGCCAAGGAGGGGACCTGGGAAGAGGGGGAATCTCGGCCTCATCGCAGCCGCCGTAGCCTGGCAGCAGAGCTCCCTCATCCAGTGTCCTGTGCTCTGGCTGTGACTGGTCCCACACTGGTCCAACCCTCCTCAGGGAGGCCATTTCTTGCAGTAGGCCTGGTCCTTTCCCCTGATGAGTGGCTGGTTAATTATACCAGGCTGAACGATCATTCTGGTCATCTCTTTCACAAGCTGTGGGAGAGCTTGTGAAACTCCCTGCTTGAGCTGCAGCGGCCAGAGTCACCAAAGGGACCTCCAGGACCTCAACAGGGGGCACTGGTGGCACCCCGGTGCAGGCTGCTGGAAGGTGCTCGAGGGCTTGCTGAGGAGTTCTGAATTTCTGTGGCCAGGAGCCAATTCGTTTCCTGATATATCATGTGTTCTCCACGCTTCCCTCGCTCTCACGTGAGCAGGTGTTTTGCAGAGGGAGGTTTTTGGGTGAAGCTGCAGTTGGTTTGGGGAGAGAAGCCGTTTCTCCCACTGGCCGTGGGACCAACATCTCCCAGAGCAGCAGCAGCGTGTCGCAACCAGGCAGGGAGATGTCACTTGCTTTCTCAAGAAACACCTTAGGAAATGAAAAAAGATCAGTGCATTTAAGCTTTCCTCCTGCAGGCCCTGAAGGAAAGGGAAATAAAACAGATTAGAGGAATCCATCCAATTTTCAGTTGTCCTTGATCAGCTAATAGGAGAAAATAAAGGCAGACAGAGGGTCGTAGGTGGTGGCACGAGAACTGGGGGCATGGAAAGCATTCCCAGCTCTGCCAGAGCGCCTGTACGTGTGCCTGGAAAAGGCACTTGGTCTGACTCTGTCTCAATTCCTCACCTCCGAGACGTGGCTAATCACGTTGCTGCAATTCAAAGGGACGTTGTGCGGAAATATTCATTAGTGCCTCCGAGGTGCTCCGTTGCTATGGAGATGGGGATCCTGAGAAATGCGGAGGCTGACGGAGCCTCGCTGGAGATTCGGAGCTGCTGGGAGCTCCTCTGCGCCGAACTGCACCGTGCTCTGCGGATGAGGCCCAAGGGTCCCCACACACGTCCCCAGTCCCAGTTGCTGGTGGCCCGTGAAAGAGCCACCGGTGCAGATGTACCCAGAGCTCCTCGTATTCTGGGGTGAAAACACTAGGTTTTCTTTTTGGTGTTTTCTTCCTTACAGCACAGGGAACTCTGTGGAACGTGGTGCGGTCAGAGCTATGCCAGCGTCCCCAGTTGCAGAGAGACGTGTGACAGCCAAGAGAAATTGCCCATCCGCTATAAACCCCGACGAGTTTAGGGTCATCCCCGCCTCTCTCCCAGCTTTTCTGCAAATGAAGGGAGATTCCTCTGCAGAACTCTGGCTCTGTGTCACCTCTGCGCAGGCAGCTCTGCAGCGCAGTGGAGGAGAGCCCAGCAGGCGTGGGCTCCCGGATCAGGGAAGGATGTGGGATGATCAGGGAAGGACGTGGGATATCCAGGAGAAACTCGGAGCCCCGCAGGTCACATTTACAGCTTCTTGGGGAACTCAGTGTCTGGTGCTTCTTGTCACAGGAGTCAAGATTCAGGAACAACAAAACAGAGACCTTACCAAGGTGTCAAGAGTGATTTTATTCTGTTGAAGATCAATTTCCACACACAGAAGAGTCATGAAGGAAAGGCAGAGAGACAGAAAGAGAGCTCCAGGTTTTACTCGCCAGTGGATCGGTTCTCTCTCTGTTTTAGCATTGCAGACTGTCCCTGGGGCTGTCCATGTACCCTGTCCCTGGAGCCAGGGGTGGCACACCCGCGGAACCTCGGATCTTTCTGGGAAGAGGGAGACCCGTAGTTGGGATTCCTCACTGCCTTTTTTTCATACCCTCTCCGGTTGGGAACTGAGCTTCCAGTTTGTTGCTTACCCCTTCCAAGCACTTGCCCTTTGCCCCAGGTGACTGAGCACAGCTGCACCGCAGAGAAATACCAGGCATTCGGTCATTTCTTCCATCCCCACTCTGTTAACTCAAATTTCTCTTCCAGAAGACGCAGTGTTAAAACCTTTTGAACCATGTGTCCTGCAAAGCGACCAGAGAGCACGTTAGAGAGGGCCAGGGCTGTGGTAAGGGGATGAGCAAGACACTCACTGGGCTCCTTCAGGCAAAGAGGGCACCAACTGGACACCAGTAGGCTAAATTCACTCTGGTGCCTGTTGCCTTCTGTGCTGCTGCAGCCAAGGCAGATCTGGGGTGAGGAAAGGAGGAGAGCGACTGGGCTGAGACCAGGAGAAGAAGGTGGAGGGGATGGCTGTGTCCCTCCTAGTCCTTGGTGCAAGTGAGCACCAAGACAAGGGTCATGGTACCAGGGAGACAGAACTGGTGGGGTTTAGCAGGATGAAATTCAGCATGGCAATGTTTCACGTTATGCACTTGGAAACTAAAACCAACAGTTTCTTCTCCAATCTGGAAAAAATCTCAGTCGTGCTGGTGAATCACAGGAAGGCTATGAGCAGGAGCTGGGCGCTGTGTGTGTGGAGATAAACGAAATCCTAGAATGCAACAAGAATGTGCCTCAAGATGGGGAATGTCTAGTTCGGAACACAAGGCCCTGGGAGCCACTTGGAGCACCCTGTGCTTCTGCTCTGGACGGGATCTGAGCCAGGGAGATGGGCAGAGGAGGTAATTACATTGATGAGGAAAATCTGAGAGCTTATTTTACAGAAGAAAACAGCAGGGCTGCTTGTTTGGACTAGCAAAGAGAGGGGCCTGAGAGCAGGCACTAAGTAGGAGGAGGATGATAGAGGATGAAGAAAAAAGGATGAAGTTGGCAGCATAAGGAATAGGTACAAAACACTGTACAGGGGTAAAGCTGCCTTGAGACTTGGAGAAAGAAGCCTGTCTGCCTCTGTCCCTCTGGGAGAATTTGCAGGTGCCAGTGAGCTGCATGATGGGTTGGGTTGGTGGGAAGTGGGTGCCAACCAGCACCCTGGCCTGGGCACTGCCTGAGCCAGGAGCAGGAGGGGCTCGGGAGCGTAGTCCGTGCAGGAGGAGCGATGTCTCTGGGGCTTGGCGAGGAGAAATGGGAGCATTGTGATGAAGAGCGGCCGCAGAAAAACCCCGCAGAGGACGGGGCATCGGCAGAAGCTCCAATAAAGCGACGCAGGGACAGTGCTGGGGTCAGACTCTGCAGAGCGAGGAGCAGGCGCCGGGCTGGGCTGGCACTCGCTGCCTGCTGGAGTGCCGGATGTTGCACACCCTGCCTAGAGAAACCAGTCTGCACCAGTAATAAAACCACCCAGCACCTCTCTCCCGAGGGGCTGCGCGCTTTGCTAACCGCACAGATCCCGGAGAGCAGCGGGATGAAGATGAGAACTTGATCGGGGGTGGGCGCTTCATTGCCGATTTCAGCCGAGAGCTGTCACTGTCACCGCAGAAACTCTCCCCTCCTGCAACGGAGGAGACATCCCGTATCTTCGGAGCCACGCTGGCCTTTTAATTAGCCCTCCGGCACCGATGGGCACACGCGGGGGATCTGCCTCCCCCACCCCCAGATCCCCAGCCTGCCAGCTTGTGCATTTTTGCCTGTTTTCTCACTAGGTTGGCCCATTGCCTTTAAAAGGCTAAATGCTCCGGACTAAATTTGGTCATGCAGCTCTGCCTGGTTCCCTGGAATGTCCTCGGGTTTCAGGCTCCTCTGATAGCACCATTCCCCGCCTCCCACTGGGCTCCATTGGCTTCCCAGCACCCGAATCGCGACTGGATCCTGTTATTGGCCAACTCTTGGGCCAAGGGGTGTCCCCTTTTTATAACTTTTATATCCCGGGCTGCAGCGATCGAGAGCTGCTGAGATTTAACACTTCAGCACCTGCTACCACTGGGGGAAGCAGTGTTGGAGCTTCGGCTTCTGTTTTTTTCTCCTGCCTTGGGTACCACACAACCGCAACCGTGTCTCGCCAACGGGCCAAGATGTCCAAAGTGGCCAAATATCGGCGACAAGTTAGTGAAGATCCGGACATTGACAGTTTGTTGTCTACTCTGTCTCCGGAGGAGATGGAAGAGCTAGAAAAGGAGCTGGACGTGGTGGATTCGGATGGAAGCATCCCTCTGGAGCTCAGTCAGAAAAACCAAACAGAAAATTCCCCAGCCTGCCGACGCGACGCTCAACCACCGCGAAAAGGAGACCAGGAAAGCTATTCAGAGGGAACACTCGATAGATGTAAGTCACATCTCCCCACGCTTGCGCTGGTTGTGTCAGGAATGCAGGGGCGCACCTGTGAGCTCCGCTGGGCTGTTCTAGGGGACGAGATGGACAACGCGAGCCCCGAGAAAGGCGTGCTGTGCTTGCTGACGAGGAATAGCTGTCGTGTAGAGACCCGAGGAGCGAGGCAGGGAGCTGCTCCAGGCACTCCAGGAGGGAACAGGGTGCTTCATGAAATCCTGGTGCTACTCACAAAGCCAAAACCTGTGCTGGTGCTGGGGATTTTCGCTCTGCCTCTGCTCGAACGTCCTTTGGCAGGGCTGGGAGCAGACACCCAGAAGGCAGCTGGTGCAGTGACAGCGATCCCTTGGGCTGCGTTTCTTTTTCCTCCTGTTTTATTTGCTTTGGTGATCTCTGGACTCTCAGTCGCTTTGGTTCCTCTTGTGCAAAAGCTTAAGCAGCCTCTGGTTCTTGTGGAATAAAAATGTGTTGCTGTTTTGTGGAAATCACCCCGAGAAGCAGGTTTCACCCCAATCTGTTTGTTTCTAGCTTATCATTCAGTTAAAATTTGTTCTTTTATTTTGATGTGGGTATCTCCTCCTTTGCGCTGGCAAATCTTTTAATAGCTTGCTTTGAGCTAGAAAGCTCTGTGCCAGTCCCTCTCGTCTTTTTGTGCCTCGCCTTAGTGGGAGCCGATCCCACTTCTCTGTAACATTTATTAACCTCTGCACTAAGAATATTTGGTATGTGCTTCATGCGTGGGAGGCTGGGAAGCATTTGGTTTCCCTAGTTTTTCATGGCAGGCTGAGCCAGAAAGTGAAAGAAGGAAACTCTTGAGCAATCTATCTGTGTAGTCAGCACAGATTTCACGTCCCAGGCTGGATTCGCATCTGCGGTGACAGGACAAGGCTGAGGAGTATCAGCAGCGTAAGCAGAGGCTCTTGTGGATACCCCCTTTAAGAGACTGCTCTGGCCACGATTCCGTATCTATTCCAGGTCACCCAGCAGTACCCTGGGTCTCCCAGCCAAGTAACTGAGCTCTCGCTAGCCCAGGACCACTTGGAGGTAGCTCTTTCTGCATGTGTATGGAGTTTGGTATAGGAGGGTCCTCTCCTGACTGGGGCCTGGGAGAAAACGGGGAGAAAAAGATAAAACTTGCAGCTGCAGGAGAAATAAATGAAGGTTTCTTTCGGAGACTTGAACAAGGGGTTAAATAGTTCCCCCCACCCCTCTCTGTGCCGCCTGGGAGTTTTCCTCTGGCTCCGAGGACAAGGCACTCACAGCCTTCACCTTCTATATGCGGCGTTTGGCGTGGGCTGGGGGACAGAAAGCACCATGCCCCTGCACCAGAGCACGGGGGTTTTATTCCCAGCAGTGGGCTGAAGGAAAATTTCCCCGTGGGGCAGAACTGCAGGTGCTGCAGGACAAACCTGCCTGAAAAGAGAAGTGCCATTATGTTGGACCAGTTATCCCAGTTTGCATTGGTTTGCAGGTGATCTCGGCTTACAGCACTGAGAGCTGTGAAAAAGCTGTGCTTTGAGGCAGGGGCAACTCTTGCCTTCGATCTCACTAGGGATGCTATTTTGTTTTTAACCGTGGGAAGATCAGGAGTCGACTGGGAATTGGGATAGGGAAGTGTCCGTGATCAGGAGGAAAGGAGGAAATCTGTGTTTTTCAGAAGAAGAGAGCTGGGAAATTGTCTGGTGAAACACTGCGTTATTTGGAAGATGCCGGAGAGCGTGTGTGTGTCGGTGCGCTGCAGGAGAGGGCTCGGTCTGGTGGCCAGGAGCAGCCCGGGGAGGAGAGGTGCCCGGGAGAGGGTGCACAGCTCCGGCTGGCGGGGAGGGCAGCGCCGAGGTCCTGAGAAAAGCGCTCGTTGTGCTCCCCTTTGAACTTCAGTAGCTTCGGGACGTGGAAGACAAAGCCAGTTGGCTGCCGGTCAAATTTGTCAGTGAAACTGGCCCAGTTAGATTGCGTTGCAGTAACTGGATATGGAAGAACCGTCTTTCTTCTTCTATTTCGATCCCTGAAGGCCAAGAAAAAAAAATATCCTCCACCCCTTCCTCCTTGGCATTGTTAGGACCTGGGATTAGCAGCTAGAAAATGCCAGCTCGCAGCGCTGGCCGGTCAGCCCACGCCGGTGGTGGAGCAGGGCCTTTGCTCCACTGCGGGGCACGAGGATGGGACGGGATGGGGTGGGGTGGGATGGGACGGGATGGGATGGGATGGGATGGGATGGGATGGGATGGGATGGGATCTGGGAGGGATGGGATGGGATGGGATGGGAAGGGATGGGATGGGATGGGATGGGAGCAACAGACCACAGAAGCAATCGCAGAAACCAGCCCAGGAAGCCGATGGTTCCCTCCGTCCGAGGGAGCCGTGGGGCTTTGCTGCTGGATGGAGTGAGAACACGGAGCCATCCGGAGCATCCTGGGCGACTCCCGAGCTCTCACCCGGCTGCTCACAGCACAGAGGCCTGCAATGACAAATCCCTTTCTCATATCAGTGGATTTCACGTTGCAGCAGGCAGCGAAGCATTCCCCAGTGACTGCAGGCATCCCCCCCTCGATGTCCGTCCCTGCCTCCGTCCCTTGACAGCCCCAGCACTGTGCCTCACAAACCCACACAGCGCCCCGATTGAACGCATCGAGCGAAAGCTTTGCGGGCGAGAAGCAGACGTGTGAGCACGGGAGGGAGGCGTGAGCACGAGGGCAGGGAAGGAGCAGGAGCTCCTTCCAGCGGGACTGGCCCTCTGAACCTCTGGAAGATGTTGTCGTGCGTCTGTGATGTCTCTTCAGCAGGGAGGGACAGGAGGGTTGATTCCTGTCCTTGAGCTACAGAGAGTTCACAGCTCTAGAGTTGTCTTGTATGAAGGCACTGAGGATAGAAAATATCGGAGAGTTCCTAGTCCAGCTCCACAGCGGTGCCTCGGGCTGCACCGTTATTGCTAAAACTCATCTTGCGAAGCGGCCCCAGCTCCCCGCAGCCTGGCAGGGCTGGGGCCGGGGCAGCACGCCAACGCAAGCCGCCGTGCTCCCTTCTCCCACCTATTTTTCCTCCTCCCTCCTGTCCTTTCCTCCCTCCTTTGCTCCCTCTTTTCGTGGTGGCTGGTGGGACATTGTCTCTTAGCTGGGATGTGCGGGAACTTCTCCAAAGTGTGAAATAAGATGTTTTAAAAGGAAAGAGTCGGTTTCTGCCCATCTCACAGATCTTCTTGCAGTCATTGATCTGTTCTTGGACTGGCTCCAGGCACCCCCGTTCCCTTCCGAATACTGGGACGAGTGGGAATGTTTAGAAATATTGTAACTACATAATAACACATCTTCTTAGTGATGAAAAGGGCAAACTTCGGTAGCTAGGAAGCAGTTTATAAACAGCCCAAAACAGCCGTGAGCTTTGCCCTAGCTTCTCCGCACTGGGGAGCCAAATTCACATCTTGGTGATGCGTTAATTAATGAACCTTCATTTCGTATTGCTGGCGAGTGGAAGTATCCCCCAGCTCCGCCGGGGGGCTGGGGCCCGTGCCTCTCCTCCATAGGTCCATGTGTCATGGGAGCCGAAGTTAAGCCAACATTCACGAGTAGATAAATGAAGAGCAGATTTCTAACAGCTCGTGGCTTTTTGCTGTGGTGGGCAAAGACAGAATGAGAGACAAATTCAAGTGAGAAACCTGCTGTAAGGCTGAGGCAGCGGCGTTAACCAAAGGGTGGTTTGCCTGGGGCCACAGCTGGCTTGCTGTCACTCGAAAGCTGAGCTGTGTGAGGAGATGGGTTTTGTGAGAGCTGCTCTGGTTTTGTCCAGTTCTTCCTCACATCTTCCTGACATCTTCTTTAAAAAGCATGCATCTATGCAAACAGCACAATGATGTGCACCCTGGAGACTGGGGACCTTATAAATGCTTATAAATATCTGCAGGGTGGGTGTCAGGAGGACGGGGCCAGACTCTTTCCAGTGGTGCCCAGCGACAGGACAAGGGGCAATGGGCACAAACTGAAGCAGAGGAAGCTCCAGCTGAACATGAGGAAGCACTTCTTCCCTCTGAGGGTGACGGAGCCCTGGCCCAGGCTGCCCAGGGAGGCTGTGGAGTCTCCTTCTCTGGAGATATTCCAGCCCCGCCTGGACGCGGTGCTGTGCAGCCTGCTCTGGGTGACCCTGCTTGGGCAGGGGGCTGGGCTGGGTGACCCACAGAGGTCCCTGCCAATCCCGGCCATGCTGGGACTCTGGGATTCTGTGAGATGCCCCTGTCTTTGCCTTTGGCATTCTGTCACTCCTAAACACACTTAGGCGTGCCTTTGCCAGGAGGGACCTGACTGAGAAGAGCCTCTCTGTAGGAAGGACCACTGCTCCGCGTGTCCCTTGCGTGGTTTGGAGGACAATTGCTCCTTGGCAGTTGCCATATCCATAGCAGGAGGTTTGATTTTTCAAAGCGTGCCGCAAAATCCACCCGCTGCTGTTCTTGGCCCTCCTTGGATTCTCTCATCACAGGGCCCAGGTGCCTCCAGAACACTGAGCACCTCCTTATGCTCTCCTGCTCCAGCACCACCACCTTCCCTGGGAATGGATGAAGCCTCCTTCCCTCAGCTTCACCCAGACATCCCAGTCCCATCAGAGTCCTCAGTCCGGCCTCCCAACGGGGCTGCAGTGATTATTTCGTGCTGCTTCGAGCAGGGGTGGCTGGGGAAATGCATGGACATTGCATGCAGGGGCATTATCCTGCTGATGGAGGGGGTTCATTCCAGGCCCGCAAAACCACTTCTTTTAGCAGGGTGCTTGCACACATGATTGGTGTCTCATTCCGTGTAAGCCTGGGGACCAGCTTCTTGGAGGAGAAGCCTCTGAGCAGGAGGCTTTGGATGCCAGGGCAGATATGCCCAGTGCAGATGGCCCCTGTAATTTTGACTCCTGAAAGCTGAAAACCTTTCCCACAGGAGAAGTTGAGGCAGCTCAGGCAAGTGTCTTCCAACACCTTTGCCCTTCCTCTCGGATGTCCACTCCTGCACAGACAAGGCACCCTC